CCGAGGTACTAACTTTCAGTCAAACCTGGATTTTTTTAAAAGTAGCTATGAGGAATGACAAAGTTGTAAAAAGTCACCCATGATGTTGATGGCGTTGCTTTGTTTCCTCCTTATCATGTAGAGTGGAACATGATGGTAGTAGGGTTAGGGTTGAAATACTGTGGTACTGCCAGAGAATAGCTTGTAATTCCCCTCAGGGGTCTGACACTTTCTGGAGGAAGAGTTTGGTTGGTTATAGTGTGGCTGTACCATAAGTCCTCACTTACCATCATCAGTAGGTTCTGTGACTTTAAGCAAAATATTGTATAAAGGAAACAAGTTTTACCATAGGCTAATTGATATAAACAAGAGTTAAATTTCTGTGACATGTCAGCAGTGTTACAACAGTGTCATCATTCAAAGACCTGCTATATCCTTTTGATAGGTATTTGGATTGTTTTCCAGCTTTTTGCTATTATAGTAAAGTATATTGAGCACCCTTGTACATAAGTGTTCATGCATGTATGATTGTAAAGCTGTAGGAGAAATTCCAAGAAACCTTACCCTTGTTGAGTTTGGTGTGGGAAGTGGGTATTATTTATTATTTAGAACATTACATTAAATGTCAAGTCAGAAGTAATGTAAGGGTAAAGGTTAATAGTGACTCTGCAACTAGACTGCTGTGGTTCGAGTCTTCATCACTTGGTAGCTGTGTGACCTTGGATAGGTTACTTAACATTTCTGTCTTATCTATAAAGTGAGGGTGCTACTTTCCCCGTTATTAATACACATATGTAACATGCTTGGAACAATGCGTAATAAATAGTAAGTACTCTAAATGTAAGCTGTTGAGGTGGCAAAATGGCAAAGTTAGATTTACAATTATAATAGAGGAACCTGATAATTGACAGGTGTTGGACATAACAGAGAAAACTTCTGAGAAATGTGTTAATCAGGAAAAGGGGTCAAGTATGAGGCACTGGGGTGCAGACCTGAGAAAGGGTAAGTGTCACTGAAGTACAGGTGGGCAGGGGGAAGCCTGAGACATGAGGCCAAAGGCTTAATAGGTTTGTGCTTTGGTGTGTCCTGAGTGTGAGCATAAACCACTGAAAACTTTGTGTGGGGGCAGTGACATGGTCAGATTTGGGTTCATGAAAAGCACTTTGGCCAAGGTGGTTTGGAGTTTTGTTTTCAGTAGGGAGGGGTTCTGTGGCAGAGGGCAGCCTGAGTGGATGTGGGAAATCACTGTATTGTAACACTGGATGGTAAGAGGGCTTAGTTGGACTTGAGAAAGGAAGGACAGTACTTTGTGATGAACTGGTTTTATAGAGTTGAGTCCTGGAGTTTTCAGATTGCCATTAACTTAACCATATAAAACTACTACTAATAAAGAGCCACATGTAGCTCTTTAAATAAAATTTTAAAATTCTTCTTTTTTTAAATTAATTTTATTTAGTTATTTTTCAAGTACAGTCTTTTGTCTATTTTTCCCATCCCAGCTTCCCCCGCCCCTTGCTCCCTACCTCCCTCCCATTTCCACCCAAAATTTTTAAATTCTATTCATTGGTTGTACTAGATGTATTTCAGGTGCTCAGCCACATGTGGCTAGTGGCCCCTCAAACAGCACGGATTATAAAACATTGGCTGTTGTCACAGAACATTCTACTGGATCACGTTGGTTTGGATGGTTAAATTCTGCTTTCTGATTCTGGTTGACATTTTGCAAAGATATTGGATATTGCTTTAAGGCGATACCCAATAACACTATTTCTGCAGAAGATGTGTTAACTTGCTAGTTGTTAAGCATTTCATAGTCTCAGGTACCTTACCTGAAGAAAGGTGGTTAAAGATTTCCTCTCCTCAGTTCTTCCTGCTGGCCTTGCTTTGATGTGAAGTTGAAGGAGAGGGATAAGGTAATTCTGTTCCCGGGGGTCTACCTCTGGGACACTTGTGTTGGCATATTTAGTGAAGGGTTTTGTTAGTCCAGATATTCCCAGCCTTGTTAGGATTTGGGGTTTATTAAATAGTGGGCATTACATGGTGTGACTGGCCATGTTAGTTGCTAAATTAACATAGTTAATTAATTTAGTTAAATAAGACAGATGAATTTCTTCATCTCCTGAACAGGGCTTTTTCCTGCTTCTCTCCTCTGTTCTTCATTATTAACAGATTCTGTTGTGTTTACCTTTGGAAAGATAAAGTGGTTGAGTCTTAAAGGGTCACAGTCTTTGTTGGCTGTTCCTTTAAAGTGGGTGTGACCACTGTGGCATTCAAAGTCTTTCTGTAGTACAGTATTTAATTGACTAAAGAAATTTCACTACTACTGGTCTCTCTGCTTCCTTTGCAGACCGACATCAACTTGCCATATCTTACAATGGATGCTTCTGGACCTAAGCATTTGAATATGAAGGTGACCCGGGCTCAGTTTGAGGGGATTGTGTTTGAACTAATCAAGAGGACCATCGCCCCATGCCAAAAAGCCATGCAAGACGCAGAAGTCAGCAAGAGCGACATCGGAGAAGTGATTCTTGTTGGTGGTATGACTAGAATGCCCAAGGTATGGATAGACCTGTGGAATTCTCAACATGGAGAACAGAGAAGGCCAACGTATAATGTTTTCTTGTGATAAGTGGCTTAGGTATGGGCAAATGAATATGTGGCCTTTCTTCCACGGTGACCCTGAAAGGAGAATGAATTTGTGCCATGACTAAAGAGTTATTTTCAGTCCTTTTTTAAAAAATTCAAGGGTGTAAGAAAAAAGATTAGGAAGGGCAAAATGTCTTTGGGTTGGTAGCAGGGAGAATCCTGAACTTAAATCTTACAGAATTTTTAGGAATGAACATTTGAGGTCAGATAACTTAATCCCTTGGTACTAACTAGCCTCTATGGGGCAATTTTGAGCATGTGTTTTTGCAGCATAGTGTTTGAGGTTTCTAACTCTTCAACAAAGATTTGTGCAATGATGCATTCTATTCATCAACACATCATTCTGAAAATACAGGTGTGTGGAAAGCTAATGACTGAGCACAGAACTGTTGAAGGTGCAATTCTTTATAGCTTATGCAGAATTTTAAAAAAGATTTTATTTATTTATTTTTAGAGAGGGGAAGGGAGGGAAACATCAATGTGTGGTTGCCTCTTGAGCACCCCCCATCGAGGACCTGACCTGCAACCCAGGCATGTGCCCTGCGTGGGAATTGAACTGGCAACCCTTTGTTCTGCAGGCTGGCACTCAATCCACTGAGCCACACCAGCCAGGGCCATCATAGAATTATCTTGAACCTTGATATTTTCTTAATTTTTTGAGTACTTGGGCTTAGGAAAATAAACAATAAATCCAGAGAGAAGGGGAGAAGCTTTGGACCATGAAGATAATGTTAACAAATTATCCTCGTTGCTATTTAAATAGCAGGGGGGTTTTAGCATTAGTAAAAAAAAAAAAACATATCCAATTTTAGCATCGGTGTTGTCATCGTATAACCACTGCTTCTTTAGAGTTTGTGTTTAGTCAGTATGTAGAAGAGGACTTGGGCTGTACAATTTTTAAGTTCCCATGCCTTACACCTTGTATTTCCAGTTTTTTTAAGGGTTTTATTTATTTTTAGAGAGGGGTAGGGAAGGAGAAAAAGAGGGAGAGAAACATCAATGTGTGGTTGCCTCTCACACACCCTCTACCTGGGAGCCAGCCCACAACCCAGGCATGTGTCCTGACTGGGAATCAAACCAGTGATCCTTTGGTTCACAGGCCCACATTCAGTCCACTGAGCTACACCAGCCAGGGCAGGACCTGTATTTCCAATTTAATGTGTTGTATGGGAAACCAGATAACAAACACAAATTCTTCCCAAATTTAAAAGGGCACTGAATGAGATGTCATATGAGTAAAATATGATTGCTATCTGCATGATAACACTCAGATCATTAACATGAACTCTGGTATGAGATACTAGTTAATTTGAGAGAAATTTTTGGATCCAAATGAAGCAACCCGTTGAGGTATGCTGCAGTTTTGGAACAAACACACGTTGTCTTCCACCTTGGGCATTTTAGTTGCTTTGAGTAGTGGGTAACAGGTTCTTTTTTCCTTGATGCTCAGGTTCAGCAGACTGTTCAGGATCTCTTTGGCCGAGCCCCAAGTAAAGCTGTCAATCCTGATGAGGCTGTGGCCATTGGAGCTGCCATTCAGGGAGGTGTGTTGGCTGGTGATGTCACAGATGTGCTGCTCCTGGATGTCACTCCTCTTTCTCTGGGTATTGAGACTCTGGGAGGTGTGTTTACCAAACTTATTAACAGGAACACCACTATTCCAACCAAGAAAAGCCAGGTAAGAATTTCCACTCCCTAATACCACAGTTACTAGGTTCTGTGAGGGATGTGATTCCAGCCACTTTGGTGAGCTTTTCTTAGAAAAGTCTTTGTTTTATAGTCCGTACTGGGTGAATGTGGGTGGTAAGGCTCTTATCTATTATTTTGGTCTTTTTACCTGTCAGCCAGCCGTGGAGATTGTAGGGAAAGCATTAGTAATCTCTCCCTCACAGGATTAAAATAATTTGCCAAAAGGAGCCTTATCACTTAGGACTAAATTCCCCATACTCTTCTGTTCTCAAAGGCAATAAAAAGAATGGCCTGAGACAGTTGAATGTACTTCTGTTATGGATGAATGATGGATGTCTTACACTGCCACACCAGGGCTATTTAGACAATGGCTTGGGTCTTAGTTTCTTAATACTTGGATTAAGAATTATTTCCTGACTTGCTCAGTTTTTTGTTTTTTGAAGATTTTATTTATTTACCTTTAGAGGGGAAGGGAAGGGGAGAGGGAGAGAACATCACTGTATGGCTGCTGCTCTCATAGGTCCCCTGCTGGGAACTGGCCTGCAACCCAGGCATGTGCCCTGACTTTGAATCGAACCACAATTTTTTGGTTTGCAGGCCCACGCTCAATCCACTGAGCCACACCAGCCAGGGCCTGACTTGCCCAATTTTGATGTTCGTATTAAAAATTTGTTATCGTTGTATTTGTGCGGTGATGTATTGCCAGCACATCATTCTGAAGAAAAGTGTGTGGTGACTTCCTGTGGCTGAGCACAAAATAACATTGTCCAGCAGAAGTAGCCCCTGCTTGAGTATGCAGTAGGGTGATAATATGGGTGCAATAATTTATAGTTTTAATTGGAACATTTCACCTAAAATGTTATATGGTGTGCTTAAATATGATATTATTATGCTGTAGAATTATATGCTCACGACTTCGTAATAAAAAGGTGTTACTTGTGCCAGACCCTGTATATGTCCTGTCTCTGACCTGTTTTCCCAGATGAGCATATTTCAACATCTCATTTTTATCCCTTCACAAGGCCCTCTGCCAGTGCTGCATCTTTGTACAGTGCACTTGCTTAGCAGAAACAATACCTACCACGTGCCCTTTTGCTATGCTAATTCTACTCCTGTTCCCAGCAAAGACATACAGCCTTTGTTCTGAAAATAGGGTACATTAGGACTCTACCAGTGTTGGGGTGTCAGTTTCTTTCTTTGGCTTCACTTTGTGTAAGAGAAGTATTTTTATTAGACTGCCAATCCAGGAAGTTTCTTTTTCCCTAGGTGTTTTCTACAGCTGCTGATGGTCAGACTCAAGTGGAGATTAAAGTGTGTCAGGGTGAGAGAGAGATGGCTGGAGACAACAAACTTCTTGGACAGTTTACTTTGGTGGGTATTGGGAATCCTAAATACGCCTTTCATTCCTGTGTACTGTGAATTTGATGATACTTTGACCCCTGTTAATAGACAGAAATGTTTGTAACAGTGCTAATTGGGAGAAATTCCTAGTTATTGATATGAGACATTTGATATTATTGGCCTCTAATTAGCATTGCTTATTGGTTCTTGGTGAGATGAACAATGATGGAGGGGTTGCTTTTATTATTCATTGTGTCCCCCAGTATGTACAGCCATTATGATTACTTGCTGTACCCAACCTTCACTGGCCTGAGCCCTGTTTGTTTCAGGTAGCAGTGATTTACTTAAAACTTTTTTTTAGCACACTTAATTAAGTGAAGCTATAGCTTGTTCCTCCTTGGAACCAAGTGATTTGTTCCCCAGAAGACTGTATCGGTTTGGAACTAGAGCACTGGACCTCTTTGTGAGAGGAGCTTACTCTGTATTTATTTATTTTAGATTGGAATTCCCCCAGCCCCTCGAGGAGTCCCTCAGATTGAAGTTACATTTGACATTGATGCCAATGGGATTGTACATGTTTCTGCCAAAGATAAGGGTACAGGACGTGAGCAGCAGAGTAAGTTTTCCTATTTATCTGATTGTAAGAGTGAGGTGAGGGACCTTGGAGTGCCTTTCTGTTGGGAACAAGGTCCTCTAGGTTGTGCCTATCTTTTCTCCCAGCTTCAGGATGATGCTGAGTCCTTTCTGTCCCTTTCCTCCTCAGTTATGAGAGTTACACTCAGTAACAGGTATGGCGGTGTGTATTCCCCCAAATAGGCAAGCACTGAGCCTCTGGATTGCTGCCTGAGCTGAAGTTTTGGTAGGCAGGATAGTTGATGTTTGTATGGATCAGTCCCTTGGTTTCTTTCTCCTTATCTTAGGACATCATGATATCATTCCCCTCAATAATTCATATCATTGGCTTTTCTGAGCAGGAGTATTCTTTTTCTTAATACGATAGAGAATGAAACATACAATTTTACCTGTGAGGTAACAATGCTTTCTTTTCATTATAGTTGTGATCCAGTCTTCTGGTGGATTAAGCAAAGACGATATTGAAAATATGGTTAAAAATGCAGAGAAGTATGCTGAGGAAGACAGGCGAAAGAAGGTGATTAATACCTTTTTAAAAAAGATTTCATATATTTACTTTCAAGAGGGAAAGGGAGGGAAAAAGAGAGGGAGAAAAACATCATGTGTGAGAGATACATAGATCAGTTGCCTCTCACATGCCCCCATCTGTGAGACCTGGCTCACAGACCCCAGGCCTGTGCCTCTGACTGGTAATGGAAACAATGACCTTCTGGTTTGCAGGCCAGCACTCAGTCCATTGAGCCACACCAGCCAGGGCTAATCAGTACTTTCTTCCTTTTCAACTGGGAGATGAAAGTGGGAGTTGGGACATTTGTCATTGATCTTCTATCTTCTGTTACCCTTAATCTATCCTTTGTCCCCCTTTGCTCATAACTTATGTGGAATGCCTTTATTTAATTTAGTCTGTCTTCCCATAACAATTCTTATGTTACAAAATCCAGCTGAAATCTCTTACAGACATCTGAGACTACCTCAGACCATAGTGATTCATCCCCTTACTGTTTTTACTCTATACCTATATGCAGCAGTCAGCATGTTGTCCTTCTCAGTGAGAACCTTCAGCCAATGGGTTCATTGGGAAGTCTTCACTTTCTCATTTCTCTTAGGAACGAGTTGAAGCGGTTAATATGGCTGAAGGAATCATCCATGATACAGAAAGCAAGATGGAAGAATTCAAGGACCAATTGCCTGCTGACGAGGTAAGCTCTCTTTTATAATGAGTAGTTCAAGAAGTCGGGAGGCAGTGTGACCAGTGTCAATGAAGTTCATCTGTCTCTGTGAATCTTGATAAGAATTTAGTTTTATAAGATGTTTCTGAATATTACTGCTTCATGTAGTGGGATAAGAAACCCAGGAAAAGTGAGGGTTTTGTGTTTTGTTTTTAAGTGCAACAAATTAAAAGAAGAGATTTCCAAAATGAGGGAGCTCCTGGCTCGAAAGGATAGTGAAACTGGAGAAAACATAAGGCAGGCAGCATCTTCCCTTCAGCAAGCATCACTGAAACTCTTCGAAATGGCATACAAAAAGGTACAAGGACTGAGGGGTGTTTTTCTCAATTACTATTTTGCTCCTGACTTGATCCTGTTGTAACTGCACTTGATTACTCTCACTAATGACTCCTTACCTAGCCATTCATAGAACTGTGAGTGTTGACAATATCCTTCCTCCACTTCCAGAGGGAGGAGAGGTCAAAGGGAAGGAGTCACAGAAACCACCAACAGTGTGTGTGGAGTGGGGAGAGTGCAATAGGCAGGATGTGGCTCCTTCCTTTTTCAGTTCATCACAGAGCATGCTGTCAGCCTTAACATTAAATGAGTGGCTGTCAAATGTTTTCTTAACAGATGGCCTCTGAGCGAGAAGGCTCTGGAAGTTCTGGCACTGGGGAACAAAAGGAAGATCAAAAAGAGGAGAAACAGTAATGGTAGTAAACTTTGGAGCCAAAAGGACATCATCTTATGACGCTTGGGAGTAAAGGGACTTCCTGAGCAGAAATGGGAAGACTTCATTCTTTTACTGTGTTTTTGCAGTACTCTATATATAATTTCCTTAATATGTAAATTTAGTGACTATTAGCTAATGATCATTTAATGAGTGATAATTCCAGCAGTGCAAAGCTCACAGTGTTCTGTCCCTAGCCTATCATTTTTCAGCTGTATGTGAAAGGGAAGAAGATGATTTATTGATCATTTTAAAGACTTAATGTTGGTTTGTGCTGAAGTAACCATATTACCAAGGGGTGAAACCATCCCACACAACAATGAAGGTAGTCAGTCAAAGACACGGAATGAGACCATCTGGGGATAAGATACTTAACTACTGCTCTACCAGTATGTGTGTACATTGGATCCTTCAACTGAGACCTTGCAAGGCAAGTCTGCTGTGCCACACTCAGAGGTAGAGCAACAGAAGCAAGATCAACGGAAAACTAAGTATTTGTGTTAAGTACAACTCTTAAAACAAGGTAATAAGTCTTCGTGATTTTCCTGTGGGACACTTTTATAGCTACCTTGTGGCTTTTGTCTGGCACCTGTACCTTTGATTTTTTGGATCCATTCTGGATTTTTTTTTAAAAAAATAAATATGAAAAGCATCTTGATCTCATTTGTGAGGAGTGAGACTCTTGAGATTTAGCTTTGAGAATATAATATGCATCATACCTTCCATTTCCCTGACCTAGGGTCACTCAAATAAAACAGGATTTGGAAGGGCTAGTATAATGAAATACGCATTGTCACTAAGGACAAGTCTGGTTCCGAGGGGCTTTTTTTTCTCTCTCTCTCAAAGCCCCATCTTTTGTTTGTAATGTTAACAAAGTCTAGGTAGGTCTCTAGCTTAAAAATTGGGGCTACTATTTTCAGGTTGCTTTCTGTTCTATGCAGCTTTATATTAATCTAGTAGTAAATCCTAAGGCGTAAGTTCTGTGACTCAGTAGTATTAGGTAGTGATTCTTTCCATATTTTTGTTTTCACTGTCAGTGAGTTGCCTTGTCTTAAATTGCTTTAGTTCTGATTACCAAATGCTAACTTCAGAAGCAGAACTTTGCATCTTTCCTGTATCTCAAATATTTAAATATTGAGAATTTTTTCCCCCAAGCTTTTCCAATAGACTTCCCCTCATGTTTCATGGACTACTATTGTAGACCATGCCTAAAGGAATTTTAATAACATGGTACTTAGATTCCATCAGGTAATGCTTTTATTTGTGATGGAAGTGAAATTCAGTACAGTGCTCTACTGTAAGATACTTTTTACATAATTACATTCCTAGAAAATTCAGTAACACCTATGCAAATACTTCTTGAGATTCATAAATAAAATTCTAGGCTCAAGTTCTCAGCCACATGGTGGGAACCTTGTGGAATGTATAATAATTATCCATGACGGATTGTTTTGTGGTGTGAAATATTTAGCATCTATGGTTGGCCCTTGCATAGTAAACACCTCTTGTATCTCCTAATCATTGTGATAACTAAGCCTTTCTTCTATTTCCAAAGCACTCCAATTAAGTACTGACTTTTATAAAAGATCGACTTTAGGATTGGGAAGAGGAACGAAACATCCCCTGAACAGTATGGGCTCTATTAGGAAAAAGGGAGAAGAGCTACGTGCATAGGTACCCACAACTGTCCTTCCCTATGCAGTGAACACACAGCAGTATTCTAGTTACAGACCAGTAAAATGTAGTGCTGCAAACAGCCTTGAAAGGCAAAAAGATTTTTTAGAGACAGGTCCCCTTTTATGACAAATGCTTGGTAGGTCTAAAAAGGAACTTCTGATTTCTG